TTTATTTTTATTTGTACAATGAGATGGGGTCTCACAGTGTTGTCCAGGCTAAGATATGGAACACTTCTATCGCCATAAAAACTTCCTTCCTGCCTCTTTGTAGTCAAATCTCTCCCCTGCTCTCTTTCTCTGATACCTACTGATCTCTGTGTCTCTCTAGTTTTGCCTTTTCCAGCATATGTCACGGATGGAATCGTACAGCTTACAGCCCTTTGCATCTGACTTCTTTTACGTAGCATACTTTTGAGAGCCATTTGTGTGTGTGTGTGTGTGTGTGTATCAGTGGTTATGTTCCTTTTTATTGCAGAGTAGTGATTGCATGGAGCTGCCACATTTTTAACTGTTCACCAGCTGAAGGACGTTTGAGTTTTTTCTAGTTCAGGGTTATCATGAATAAAGCTGCTGTACATTTGTGTGCAGGTCATGTTTTCATTTCTTGTGGGGAAATGCCCAGAAGTGCGAGTGCTGGGGACATACATTAGGCGTTTTTCGCTTCATGAGAAACTGCCAAACCATTTTCAACATTGGTTTTCCAGGTTGTGTCGCGTCCCAGCAGGAATGCAGGAGGGCTGAGGACATGGTTTACATTTCTGTGTTTTGGTGGCATACAGATAAATACATGTATCAATGTATTGCCCTGTATGTATGCTACATGAGATGCTTTTGGGTGGTACATGAAAGAACCTTTTTTCTTTTCTTTCTTTTTTGAGACAGAGTCTTGCTCTGTCACCCAGGCTGGTGTGCAGTGGTGCCATTTCGGCTCACTGCAACTGTCCGCCTCCTGGGTTTAAGCAGTTCTTGTGCCTCAGCCTCCCAAGTGGCTGGGATTACAGGTATGTGCCACCCTTCCCAGATAATTTTTGTATTTTTAGTAGAGACGGGGTTTCACCATGTTGGCCAGGCTGGTCTCGAACTCATGACCTCAAGTGATCCACTTGCCTTGGCCTCCCAAAGTGCTTGGATTACACGTGTGAGCCACTGCACCCAGCCTGAAGGAATCTTTGTGTGTTTTTTTTCATAGTTTATAGGTTATGAGTATTTTTTAATTTGCATTTTAAAAATTTAGGGGCCGGGCGCGGTGGCTCAAGCCTGTAATCCCAGCACTTTGGGAGGCCGAGATGGGCGGATCACGAGGTCAGGAGATCGAGACCATCCTGGCTAACACGGTGAAACCCCGTCTCTACTAAAAACACAAAAAACTAGCCGGGCGAAGTGGCGGGCGCCTGTAGTCCCCGCTACTCGGGAGGCTGAGGCAGGAGAATGGCGTAAACCTGGGAGGCGGAGCTTGCAGTGAGCTGAGATCCGGCCACTGCACTCCAGCCCGGGCGACAGAGCAAGACTCCGTCTCAAAAAAAAAAAAAAAAAAAAAAAAAAAAAATTTATCCAGCACACTAAATCCATGAATTCTTGGCTATTAATGCCTTTTAATTTTTTTGAGACACAGTCGCACTCTGACCCAGGCTGGAATGCGGTAGCATGATCATGGCTCACTGCAGCCTTCAACCCCTGGGCTCAAGGATCTTCCTGCCTCAGCCTCCTGAGTAGCTGGGACTAGTGGGACTCAGTACAGGCACGCACCACCACATTCAGCTAATTTTTAAATTTTTTGTAGAGATGAGGTCTTGCTTTTGTTGCCCAAGCTGGTCTCCAACTTCTAGGTCTGAAGTGATCCTCCTGCCTTGGCCTCCCAAAATGCTGGGATTACAGGTGTGAGCCACTGTGTCTGGCCTCTTAATGCTTAACGGCCAATAACAAAGATTCTGCAGTCAGATTGCTGGGTTTGGCTTCTAGGTCCATTTCTTACTGGTTCTGTGACCCTGGGCAAGCCACTTAATCTCCCTGAGGCACATATTTGTCGTCTGTAAATTGGTTGATAATAAGTTTAATAGTTATAAGTTTGCCATAAGGGTGAAACCAGTAAGTGTGTGTAAAACTAGTTCAGAGTTTGGCAAATGGCTGCCACTATTATTTGATGCATATGACCCATGTGTGATAGGCGTGTGTTTTGTATGTATTGTTCTGCACATCCATGTGTACATGACTGCATGTGTGTGTCACAGTACATGTGTAAGTATGTGGTTCTTGGTCTCAGGGATACAGGAGAGGATGAATGGCCTAGGGTTGGGATTACTTTTGCATGCTCACAGGTGTATGTGTGTGCCCATGAGTGTGTTTTTGGAGCCCACATGCCTGGGTGCACATGGTACCCCTGGCCCAGAGTCCTCCTGGCCCCACCTCCTCTGTCTGTTCTGCTGCCAGCCAGGGTGCTGGGCCTGTGCTGCCCCAGCCCCACCCTCAACCCCTTACCCAACACTGGGATTGGCAGGGGTCCTCTCTGGAAGGGAGCCTTGGGGAATGTCTTCCACGGGCTGGGTCTCTGGCCCCTTGTGTCTCCACTATATTTGCCCAGAGTCAGTGTTTTCTGCGCCTTTACCCAGGGCCCCAGGACCTCGAGTAGGATGGGTGGGAAGGAGAGGAAGCATTTTGAAGAGATTAGTGGCCCTGCAGTTGCTCCATGGATTCTGAGTGGAGGCTGGGGAGGGGGAACCCCAGAGGAAAGGCTCTCAGCAGCAGCTGGGCTCAGCAGGGTTTTAAAAACTGCTTCAGGGAGGTATAACTGACATACACTAAACTGCACATGTTTAAAGCGTCTAATTTGATGAGTTTTGACATAGTGTACACCTATGAAATCATTACCACATCAAGATAAGGAACACATAGACCATTGAAAACCACTCATTAAAAAAAAAAATAAAGGAACACAGCCACACTGCCAAATGTCGCCTTGTGCTTGTTGGTAATCCTGCCTGTCTCCCCCGACCATCGCAGGTTTCCACTCATCTGCTTTTGTTTTTTTGTTTTGTTTCGTTTTGTGTGTGTGTGTGTGTGTGTGTGTGTGTGTGTGTGTTTGAGACAGAGTCTTGCTGTGTTTCCCAGGCTGGAATGCAGTGGAACAATCTTGGCTCACTGCAACCTCCACCTTCTGGGTTCAAGTGATTCTCCTGCCTCAGCCTCCCGAGTAGCTTGAACTACAGGTGCCTGCCACCATGCCTGGCTAATTTTTATATTTTTAGTAGAGATGGGGTTTCACCATATTGCGCAGGCTGGTCTCGAACTCTTGACCTCAGGTAATCTGCCCACTTCACCCTCCCAAAGTGCTGAGATTACAGGTGTGAGCCATCGTGCCCGGGCCACTTATCTGCTTTTGATCACTACAGCTTCATGTGCACTTTCTAGAATTTGATACAAAATGGAAGGAGAGGAAGGGTTTTGAAGGGAATGGAAGCCCTGCAGTTGCTCCAGGAATCATATATTGCTTTGTTTTTAACAGGCTGATTTCACTCACATCATTATTTTGAAATTCATCTATGTTGTTATTCATATCGGTAGTTCATTGCTCTTTACTGCTGAGTAGTATTCTGTTGTGCAGATGCACCACGATGTGTTAGCTACCCACACAGCAGGGGTGATTTTTCTCTTATGCTTCCATTTCTACCTCTGGATGCAAACCTCAGTAATGTGTGATGTTGCCTTTCACCAGCACATATTTTATGAAACCAAAAGTCAAGCTGTGTCTGAGGCTGGCCGGAGCCCAGTGGGCATCTTTTCCAGGCAAGGCACCTGTAGCCAGTGCCACTCTCTGCCCTTCTTCCCAGCGTCCCCTTCCCTGAAATGGCCTCCCCTCCTCTGCACTATCCAGAGGCCATTCAGCTTCTTCCAGGCAGCCTTTCCAGACTATCTGGGTCTCTTCACTATCTGGGTCTCTTCTGAGCATTTCCAGCCTTCCTAGCCTGACGGCTTCCAAAGCCCTTGCACTGTTCAGCCGTTCCCGTCTTGTCTCCTTGGTGAGGACAAGGTGAACGCCTCCTCGTACCACCCCTTCCTAGTGAGCCTGGCAGGCAGGAAGCTGCTCTAGAGGGGCCCGGGGGCTCATGCACAGGGTGTCCGGCTGGCCTGGGGCTTTGGAGACTGTTGTCTGGGGCCTCTGGAGCAGAGGGGGATTGGAAATGCAAAGTGGTACAGAGGGATGCAGACCAAAGCCAACACAGCCCGGACGGAGGGCTGGGCCTCTCCCTCTCCCTTCTCTCCCTGTCTTCCATCTCCTTCCTGGAAGCCGCTCCTCCTCCTCTAGGGAGTGGAAGGGTCTGGACAGGCCCAATGCCGAGCTCTTTGCATCATTAAATTCCTGCCTTGGAGGACCAAAATTTGAAACATCCCAGAAGGCCTCTGTCACGTTTTGTGGCTTTCTACGGCTCCACCCACTTCTCCTCCGGAGATTCTTCATTGTTCTCTTTCCCCACGATGACAGGATGGGCGGGCTCCACCTCCTGAAGGACAGGGCATGGATCTTGGGGGCCCCACCAGAGTCCCCAGCCCCTGAGGCTGTGTATTAATTAATGCTGCCTGTGCTGCTGAGACTTGTCTTGGAGCCACAGAGTAGAGGCCACCCATTGTGCCAGAGAGGGAAGTGTTGTCTTCCCCAAGGTCACAGAGCCAGTTAGTGACAGCCCGGAGGACAGGATCCATGTATGTTTCATGTCTGTGTCTCCAGTGCTCAGGACAGAGCTTGGTATTCAGCAGATATGTCATAAATATTTATTGAATAAAATAAATAAACAAACCAAGGATGGTGGAGTGCCAGTGAGTGGTGGTGGAGGGCAGTAGTAAAGGCGATGTGCTACCATGGTAGGTGGTGAAAGGCAGAGGGTGTTAAGTACTAGTAGGGAGAGGAGGTGGGAGAGGGTGGGGGTGGAAGGTGATGGGGAAGGCTGAGGGGGAAGTGGTGGGTAGTGAACCAGTAGAGCATGGTGGCAGATGGTGGAGTGGGAGATGGTGAGAGATGGTGGCAGAAGGATGGTGGCAAGGGGTGGCAACAGTGGTGGAAGAACTGGGCTCCGGGTGACTTCTGGTCATGCCCAGCCTCCTCCCTTACCTAGGGGACTCTGGTCTGGCTCGTGGACCCGTCAAGTTCTCTGACACTGTGGCCTGTTCCTTTGCAGACTCCATCGGGGGCCCCTTCCCCGTCACTTCTCACCGATGCCACCACAAGCAGAAGCACTGCCCAGCGGTGCTGCCTGGTGGGGGGCTCCCAGCCACGCCGCTGCTCTTCCACCCACACACCAAGGGCTCCCAGATCCTCATGGACCTCAGCCACAAGGCTGTCAAGAGGCAGGCCAGCTTCTGCAACGCCATCACCTTCAGCAACCGCCCGGTCCTCATCTACGAGCAAGTCAGGCTGAAGGTGGGCCTGCCCCCTGCCCCCGCCCCCGCCCCGTGCTTCCTGCTTCCCTCACGGCGTTCCCTGGGCCTCTGGACTCTGCCTGCTGCCACCCCCACCACCACTCCCTGCCCCCACCTTTCTCTCTGGTGACCCTCTTCCCTCTTCCTTATGCCTTTCTCAACCTCCCTGTGTGACAAGGAAGGAACCGGGAGGGCGGTGGCCTCGGGAACCCCTTGCTGTCTTCCCAGCAGGGAGGGCTCCTGGGAGGGAACCGTGCTGGAATGGTGGGCAGGCTGCTGTGGGATGCTCCAGGGAGTCCACCCGAGGGGGGCTACCCTTGGTCTGATTGACCAAGTGGGAGAGGGTGGGCTGAGGCCACCCCCTGCCACCCAGATCACCAAGAAGCAGTGCTGCTGGAGCGGGGCCCTGCGGCTGGGCTTCACCAGCAAGGACCCGTCCCGCATCCACCCTGACTCGCTGCCCAAGTACGCCTGCCCCGACCTGGTGTCCCAGAGTGGCTTCTGGGCCAAGGCGCTGCCTGAGGAGTTTGCCAATGAGGGCAACATCATCGCTTTCTGGGTGGACAAGAAGGGTCGTGTCTTCCACCGCATCAACGACTCGGCTGTCATGCTGTTCTTCAGCGGGGTCCGCACGGCTGACCCGCTCTGGGCCCTGGTGGACGTCTACGGCCTCACGCGGGGCGTCCAGCTGCTTGGTGAGTGCCTGCCCCTCTGGCCCCTTGGTGCAGGGGACACCCCTCAACCTCTGGGCACTGCAGCCTGGCACTGTTCAATCCCATCACGCGTAGGGACCCCTTTCTGACTGGTGCCAAGGGGAACAGGGGCAGCCCTGGGAGCCTTGGCATGAACTGCAGAGAGCTCCTTTCCTCCAGGCCCATTGCTTTTCAGTGGAACCTCGGTGTGATTTCTGCTCTCTGCAGCCTCTCAGGTGGTGCCTTGGGCAGTGTGCAACCTTCACAATCATAAATGGCGACCTCAAAGACCACCACCCCCAGAAGTAATTAAATTAACCATCACAACCACAGTTCATAGAACACTTACTATGTGCAAGGCACTTCATTCTTGCCTGTTTTCATAGCAACCCTGGGAGGGAGACCCCGTTATTGGGCAGAAACTCAAGTCCAGGAAGGTTGCATCATGGTCCCAGGAGCTATGGCCCTTGAGGGGTAGAGCCAGCCCTGAGTCTCCAGCTCTAAAGCCAGCTGTCAGGCCCTGGGCTCTGCAGCCTTCCAGAAGACTGGGTTCCAAGCCCACCCTAGTGCCTTTTGCAGGGATGTTGGATAAAAGGGTAGGATCCAGGGGCAGAAGGCACTGGGGGAGCTAAGACTCTTGGCTGCTCCCTGGCCCCCAGCGTAAGTTAGGCTGTTTCAGGAGAGCGAGAGAGCAAGGAGGAGGAGCCTCGGGAAGCAGCCTGGCATGCTCAGGGCCCAGGCTTCCCTGCAATGGCACAAGTACCGGGGCTGGAAGAGGACAGGAGAATCTCCGACTTCCTAGGGTCACACAGCGAGTTGGTGGTTAAGGTAGGACTAGAACTCAGGTCACCTGACTCCCAGACCAGGCTCCTTCCCACCTGGCTCTCCTTGTGCACAGGCACTCAAGTGCACGTGCACACATGCAGACTCTGGGTACAAATCAGGCCATCAGCAAACTGGCTTTGCTTCCAGGCAGAGGCTGCGCAAGCCTCAGCTTCCTCATCTGTGAAATGGGTTGGTGGGAAGATTAAGTTCCATCAAGGAGGCCGTGAGTAAAGCGCCCAGCACAGTCTCGGGTACCAAGTATATGCTCAAGCAACACTCTTTCCTTCTGCCATCTCTACCCGCCGCTCCCTGCAGAGAAAGAGGCCATGAAGGTGGTTGAAAAACGTTTTTTTTCCTTTCTGACTTTAGAGCCTAGCCACAGTGAAGCTCTTCTTTTCCACAACACCTTTATTTGAGCAAAAAGTCAGTGATAGTAAAAACAAAGAAATGAGTCAGAAGCCTGTTTGTTGACTTCCAAACATCAGGAAGCGGTTTTTATTAGCTAGTAGTTTGGGAACTTTCTGTTTTTCACCTCAACAGAAGTGTTTCTGCATTCACGATGACACGTTCAGAGCCTGGAACTGGGCAGTTGTGGGTCTCAGCAACTGAAGAAGGGAGCCCAGGCGCTTTGCATTTTCTCTGTGAAACGGGTGTGCCTGCAGCGGGGCAGAAAGGGCAGTGTTCACGCCCCTGAGCTACAGAGACCGGCAGATCCTAGCCTCGCGCTGTACTAGGTGTGGGGCCTCAGTTTCTTCATCTGTAATGTGGGGCTAAATGCTTTCTCGGGGTTCTTTGAGAAGCAGCTGATGCACAGTAAGGGGTCAGTGACTGTCATTCGTCCCCACTCATCCTGGGGAGGGCAGTTCCTCACGCAGGGCTCGAGTGAATGCCTTGGCGCTGCTCTGGTATCCTCAGGGCCCCATACTTCAAGGCACTGGAGTCCCAGCGTTTGAGTTTGAGCTCTAACCTGACCACTTCTGCCTGAGCCTCAGGCTTCCCACCTGGATAATGGTTGTGAAGGCTCTGACTTAGCCCAGGGCTCAGCCACATAGTGAAAGGCGAAGTCTCTGCTCCCAAGAAAGCCACAGTCTTGTTGAGGGGTGGGCGGGTGAAGGTAGTGGGGTGACATTCTTGCTTTTCCCTAAGAAAATGTGCCCTTCCTCACAGTCCCCACTCTGGCTTCAAGGCCAGCCCCAAAGCCCCCTCTGAAGCCTTTCTGGGCGGAATTCTCCTCTCCATCTCTGTGTGCCACCAAGTGGTGCTGGCGCTTCTCTCAGTACTGAGCATCGGCAGAGCCTTGGTCTGTCCATATGTCCACTTCCCTGCAAGATGGGGAAGAATCCACCTCTCACTCAGTCGGGCTGCTCTCCGGGGTGGAGGCTTCTGCCTGACCTGCAGAGGATGTGGAGGAATATTTGCAGGGTGGGTCGGGGAGAGTAGTAGGGGGGGATGAATGAGAGGGCGGATGCCTTGTTAGATGAAGAAAACGGCAGGTGGGTAGGGGCCAAGGGCGACCCAGCCCTGCCCACAGATAGCCCAGGCTCACTGGGAAGTTAGGGAGATGAAGCAAACACTGCAGACGATGCAGGCACTCAGGGCACAACCCAAGAGAAGCCAGTAAATCGCTAACTGCTGTGGTCATGGGATGCCTTCCATCTGCCGAGATGGTTTCTATCCAGTTATCCCATTTAACCCCTCTGAAGCAGGCCCCACAGGGAGTGGTTTTTATCCCCATTTGGCAGGGAGATAACTGAGGCCCACTCAAGACCTGGCTTGCCCATGTAGGGATGTGGCAGAACCCTGACTTGAACTGGGCGTTCTGATGCCAAAAGCAACACCTTTCCCATTACCCTCCAGCTGGTTTAAACATAAAAGGAGGCAGGAAGTCAGAGGAGGCTGAGGTCAGTGGGGGAGGGTGGAGGCCAGGAGGCCTTCTCGGAAGAGAAGACTTGGGCTGGGCCTGCAAGTTCCAGGAGGGTCCTGGCACATGGGAATGAAGAGGAACACGCCAGAGGGCATGGGGCTTCCCACCCTCAGGGGCTGAGGAGGGCTTGGAGAATAATCTGAAGGGCCCACCCTGGGCCAGAGCCCAGGTGGCCTGACCTGGTCTAGCCCCATCCCCCTGTGACTATCAATGGGCTTGCACGCAGTGTTTTCAGTTGCATTTGGAGTTCCCGACAGGCTCCTCTCTGCACACCCGATAAGGTTAAGGCCCCAGCTGATTCTGTCCCAGCTGTAAATCACCATAATCCCTGGGTATTTTCAAACACTGATTATGGCCCCTAAATTCAATTGGCAGATAAAGATATCACTTCATTTTATTCCTCCTGAATTTTTTTTTTTTTTTTTTTTTTTTTTGCTAAAGATAGAGAGGGAGACACAGAGATTCATCCAGAGATCTCCTGAGGTGGGCGTGATCTCTCCACCTTCCTTTAGTGCCTGTCTTCTGAGATACTCCCCTCTACCCCAGGTAGCCTCAGGGTCAGCTTCCTTCCCTGCCTCCTCTTTCCTCTCCGCCCCACTTCCTACCTCTCCCTCTCTCCATCGCTTGCCCCTTTACTGCACCTGTATCTTTCTGGGCTTTTCTCTCTCCCTCGACCTAGATCCTCTCACCCTTTTTGCTTTCCCTGGTCTTGGTGTCCTTCTCCCCACTGCTGTCTCTCCTCTGAAGAAAGTCGCTGTCTGTCTTGGTGGCTCTGAAGCTGGGCCAGTCTTTCCTGGGGTGATTGTCCCCCAAACCAATGTCTGATCTTCAGGGATTTTCTGCCAGGCCTGCCCCTGTCCCCTTTGTCTGAAGCCTGTGGTCAAAGCCCTCCCAACCTTACCTGCTCTGTGTTTGTTCCTTAGACCAGAGGCTTCCCAGGGTAGCTGGCACATGGTAGGTAAGCAGGTCAGGCCATGGGTGGATGGGTTGTGTCCCCGGACAGAGTGGAGGCAGGGGCTGGTGTCTCTCTCCAATGGACGGTCCTCCCTGCCCTGACCAGAATCCAAGCCTACAGTGGTGCACATGCCATGGCCCCAGCAGGCCCTCTTCCCTGTTATGGTGCCCATGCCACAGCCCCAGCAGGCCCTCCTCCCTGTTATGGTGGTACCATGCCTGACCCCAGCAGGCCTCCTCCCTGTTATGCTGGAGTTCATGAATCACCTCTTTCTTTGGGGCACCTGGCTCAAGCCCAGGCTGGTATAAGTCAGAATAACAACTTCCTTCCTCAGGGAGAAGGGACCTGCCAGCAACTAAATAAACTACAGATTTTGTTGGGTGATTAATACATGGAGAAAAGAAGCTCCTATCCAGTGTCTCAAGATCTCGCCTCCTCTCAGAAATGTCGATTCAGGAAGAGCTGTGAGTCCCATCAGGAGAGGCTGGTGGGCCAAGAGCCCACTTGCAGGGAGCTCAGAGCATCCTCAGTGCCCACCACAGCCTAGGTACATATGTGAAGAACCAGTGGGAGACAGAAGAATTGAAAACCCAGCCTCTCCTGGAATAATGTTTTCCCTGGGGGACACATATATAACTGATGCAAGGTGGTCCAAGTTCAATTCTGCAATCAGAAGTGTGAGCTGTTATGGTGCCCATGCCACAGCCCCAGCAGGCCCTCCTCCCTGTTATGCTGGAGTTCCGCAGATCACCTCTTTCTTTGGGGCACCCTGGCTCAAGCCCAGGCTGGTATCGTCAAGAATAACAACTTCCTTCCTCCAGGGAGAAGGGACCTGCCAGCAACTAAATAAACACAGATTTTATTGGGTGATTAATACATGGAGAAAGAAGCTCCTATCCCAGTGTCTCAAGATCTCCTTGCTCCTCTCAGAAATGTCGATTCAGGAAGAGCATCTGTGAGTCCCATCAGGAGGCTGGTGGGCCAAGAGCCCACTTACGAGGGAGCTCCAGAGCATCCCTCAGTGCCCACCACAGCCTAGGTACTATGTGGGGGCAAGTGGGAGACAGAAGAATTGAAAACCCAGCCCCTCTCCTGGAATAATGTTTTCCCTGGGGGACACATAATATAACTGATGCAAGGTGGTCCAAGTTCAATTCTGCAATCAAGTGTGAGCTGAAGAGTAAAACTGTGTGTATATGTGGGAGGGGAGTGCAGCTGGAGAGCAATCCAGGAGGACTTCCTGTAGGAGACAAGTTTTAAGTCAGGAACTGAGTGAGGTGAAAAAAATGGATTGGTTGA